TTTAAGGCAGCAAGATAAAAATTAAAAATTCATATAACATAAAAGCAATGGAAAGGCATGTGCTGGGTACATACAGACTGCAGCATATAAGCAACAAGGAACTCTCATAAAAGAATTGTATAATAGGAAATAAATATTGACTGCTCATGTTGGGAAGGACAAGAGATGATGGATAGGCAGCCAGAATACTCCACTGGTGCTTTTATGAGAAATCAATGAAAGGCTTCTTGCATGTTGGTTGGACCCTCTGTGTCAAATTTGTGGGAATACATGGATAAGAGATACATAGAAGGAACAGATATGTGTAGATTGTGATGTGCATTATTGATAGGAACTTCCAAATCAATGAGAGTACGCATCCATATAAGTGCATCAATAGACCAGCTCTGCATAAAGGGGACTGAAGCAAATCCTTTCCCATTAAAGGGCTCCTCAGTGTAGGCTAGAATCAGTTCTAGGAGAGTCCAGCTTCTAAAGAGGGGAATCTTTCTAATTGTCTCTGACCAGGCAAAGGAGTTTGAACTTTATTTAGTAGTCATTAGAGGGACGCTAAATATTTTGGGCAGAGGAGTAACATAACCACATTTTTACATGAGCGAAATTAGTTTGGCAGTAGTGTAAAATATGAATTGGAGAACGAAGTAGAACTTTCTTACAATTTGTTTCATAATTGGAGTCATTAAAAGAATATACAAACATGGAGGAAGGGGTAGGAAAGTGGACATCATGTGAACCTTACTCTTATCTAAAGCAGACAAGATTTGAATATGCCCAGTGTACATGGACTCATGCAAAAATACACAAATGTTTGGTATAGAAATATATCTAGCAGTGAGCTGGAGAAAAGGAGAAGGTTGAGAAGGACTTAAGAGAAGGTGGAGCAAGGGAGGGAATACTTATAAGCAAAACAAATCAGCTTTGGAGGGATAGGATTAGGAGAACTTAAAGAAAAAAAAAGTGTAAGAACCAGTGATTGCAGTCTAGAAAAGGGGAAGAGAGGATTACCAGTGGAGTGGAAGCAGAACCCATCAGTAACATCACTCTTGTTGATCATATTCTCTTTTACTATCACCATCTTTGTAAATATTGAGGTGGGGGTCAAAGAGAGGGAAAACAATACAAGAAGATATGATGGAGGTAAATGTACAAATGATAGAAGAATGAACATAAATAGAATGGAAAAGGATAACATAATGGCTTAAAAAGCAAAATCTAGCAATATGTTGTTTACAAGAAACATGATTAGTATATAGATTCACCTGGAGTTAAAAATGAGACACCAAAACAGAATTTATTATACTTCAGTCAATGGTAGGACTAGAATGGTTAAAAGAGAAATAAATAAGGAAACTATATTATGCTTAAAAGGCATCATAGACAATGAAGTAATATCAATACTTAATACTTATGAATCAAATGGTAAAGTATCTAAATTAAAGGAAAAATTTATCAAATTAGAGGGAGAAATAGACTGTAAAACCATATTATTGGGGATCTCAATACACCCCTTGCAGACCTAACAAAAAGTTGAACAAGAAAGATGGACCTCATGAGAACTTTAGAATAGTTAGATATGATAAATCTGTGATGATTACTGAATGAGAATAGAAAGGAGTATACATGTTTTTCAACTGTGCATGTCACTTTCACAAAAATTGATCATATGGTAGGGCTGAAAAATCTCACTAAAATGCCAAAGGCAGCAATATTAACTGCATCTCTTATTCCTTACAATGCAGGTAAAACCAATAATCAGTTGAGTGTAAATCTGGGTCTCTTTTGACAGCAAGTCCAGCAGACTTTTCAGTGTACTACACTGCCTTTCAGAGGATTGCCAAGATCTTTTCCATCTCTAAATACTATTATTCAGAGGCACATGAGTTGGCTCATCATACTTCTAACGCAACCTAATTGGATGCAGCCAAAGCATGAACTATTATATTGGTCACAGACAGTTTCAGAAATTTATCTTCCTTCTGAATTTATAGAGTAGCTTTCTATTTGCAAACAAAATATTATTAATTATTTACAGTGAAGAGGACCAAAAAGCCTTTTTACTTGTTCAGTTCTGTAAATGTAGATCGTCCTCTCTTCTATTATAGCTTTTGTTTCATCTTTTAAACTTTCTGACTTTGAAAGCAGAGTGGTGGAAGGGAGAGAGAACTGGACTAATATCCAGAGATTTGGATTTTAGCTTTGGTTCTACAGCCAATCAGCTGGGTAACTTTGGGCAAACTTTTGGCCTCAGTTTGCTTATCTACAAAGTGCGACAGTTGAACTAAGAGAAGTAGGGTGGTAGAGTGGAAAAAACACAGTATTTGGAGTCAGAAAGCCTATGTCCAACTACAGCGTAGGTACTTAGTACCTAGTTGACTTTGACCTATTGGGTTTAAATTCCCTCCTCTGTAAAATGAAGGGATCTTAACAGATGGTCTCTAAGATCCTTTGCAGCTTTCTAAATGATCCTATGGCTAAATGATTTCACAGGTCCCTTCCATTTCTAACATTCTATTTCCTATTTCCTCATACTTTTCAAAAGGTTACTTTCTACTATGTCACTTTGTTTACAACAAGCTTCTTATTTACATAGAAGAAAACATGTTGGGATTTTTAGACCAATTCCTTCTCCTGACTTTTCTTTCTCTAGTAACTATACTACTATTCTTTTTGCCACTCTGGCTTAAAATAATCATCTTTTTGTCCTTATATGCCCTCATTCCCCATATGCTTTCATTCACCAAATTATTAGATCCTTCTTTTGAAAAATTTCCATGCTTTCTTTTTATTTGTGCTTTCTACACCCTAGGTACAACCATTATTATCTCATGCTTGAACCTCATACTAGAATAACTTTACTGTTATTTCCTGTTTCTTCCTCCTAAACCATCCTGTACAATCTTCCCAGAATCATCTTCCTAAAACCCTGTTTTCATTATAAGATCAGAGGATTTAGAGCTGAAAGGAAACTTGAGACAGCATCTTGTCAGGCAACACTCATTTTACAGATGAAGAAATCAAGGGTCAGAGACAGTAAGTGAGTAATTTAGATAATAAGTGGTAGAGCTGAGATTCATATCACTTCTTTTCTCAGAAACCTTTGATGTCTCATGATTGCCTGCACAATAAAATGAAAATTTCATAGCCTTATATTCAAGGTCCTCCATAGACCAAATCCAACCTAGATTTCTATCCTTATCTTTTAGTACTCACCTATGTAACCTTTTCATCTGTTCCAAACTTGTCTACTCATTGTCCTTCAAACACGCTTGCCTCTGTACCTCCATGTTTTTTTTATAACTTCACAATCATCATAGACAAATGCATTTATTTCACTATCAGCATATGAAGAAAAAGATTGCATACGAATTTGTGAATTTCCTAGTGCTTTTTTAGAAGTATATTAAATTTAACAGCGTAGTAAAAAAAAAATTGCCTTGTTTGTATCCCTTTCTGAAATTCTGTTTTATTTCAGCCATTTAAAAAAAAATCTTTCATTGATAATGTTTTCTTTCTTTTCCATTTTGCATCCCTTTCACTACTCACTAAATCACCCTACCTCTCCCATCAGTAGAAGTCCTCTCTTATAGCAAATGAGTATAGTCAAGCAAAACAAATCACCTCTTTGGCCAGGCCTGAAAAATATATGCCTTATTCAGTTGCCTCTAGTTCATTGCATCTTCTTGATAGTTTTATTCCTCCTTCCTACATTACTTTCTTCTCTGGTCCTGATCTATCCAAATTTTACCTATCCTTAAAGACCCAGCTCAACTCCAACCTTAAAGTCTTTCCTTATAATCTTTGCCTAAAGTGATTTTCCCCTTGTGTGAAAACTACAGTACTTCATTTTCTTACCTCTAACTTGGTACTTATCATTTTTTTACCTGGTATTGTGAATTGATTGGCAGCAGGCTATAGTAGAGAGATGACCTTTGAATCAGGAAGATGAGTTTAAGGACCTACCTCTGACACTTACTGGCTTGTATAAATCACTTAACTTCTCTGGGGCAACTCTCTAAAACTGTAAATTGCAGATAAGATACTGATCTGCATTGCTAGAGTTCTCATAGAGAGTTTCCTACACTGATGAAATCGTCTCATCCAAAAAAACTTTGCAAGTCATCCATTGATGTGCATATGAAAGTAATATCCTTTGTAGGTAGGGAATCTCTCTTATCTGCTTTGTATTCCCTCCTCTCAAACCCAGTAGCACCTAGTATAGTAAACAAAACATAGGAAATAGAAAATGGAACCTATATTTCAGTGATATATAGAACTCCTGGGTAGGAAACTTCCTCTACCAAGGCAGGTCTGCACCTTCTAAGCACCTTATAGTATTAGTGGCCTAGAGCACTCAGGGGTTGAGTGACCTTTCAGAGTCACATAGCCAGTAAGTATCAGAGACAGCACTTGAACCTAGGTCTTCTGCCTTTGAGGCCAGTTCTTTAGCCACTATACTATGCTTCTTTTTCCTTCATGATAATAGCTGCTTAATTAGTGTTTTTGACTTATTGATATTATCTGAAATTCTAATCTGTAGTATGAATCTGAACCTCCTGCTACTTTTAGGTCCTTTTGTCTTAGCCATTGATTTTATTCATATTGGCCGGCATCTACCAGTTATTTAATTAATAACAACAATAATAATAGCTAGGATTATGTGGCTCTTTAAAGTTTACAAAGCAACATATATATATATATGTGTGTATATATATGTGTGTGTGTGTGTATCTAAGATGATTCTCACAACAACCCAGTAAGCTAGATGCTACTATCCTCATTTTACAGATGAGACAGCTGAGGCTGAGAGATTAAGTGTGACCAAGAGCCACACAAGTCCCAAGTGTCTGAGGCAGGATTTGGACTCATATTTTCTAGACTTGAAGTTTATTTAGCTCTGTCCACTGCACTGCCTTACTGCCATCCAGGTTTCACCTGTATGTGTGGTACTTTGTAGCTTGAATGTTTTATTTTGTTTTGTTTTTCTCTGTTTTCATTTTCAGGTAACAAACCTGAATTTGGCAAGTGGAGTCACAAGTCAAACAGGTGCTACAACTCCCCCTACCCTTCGCCCAGTACATAGTCCTGGAGGTCCATCATTGTCAACACATTCAGACCCTCAAGTCCCTGAAAGCAGGACTAGCCCACCGGTAAATAGGTATGCTGAATGGTGTGGGATTCAGTTTTGGGTTAGATAGGAAAAATGAAAGGCAGAGAAAGTATATAAGTATAGCTATGTATACGTATATCTTTTTAAAGTTTATGATAAAGTAAACAAAATCCTTAGTGTCAGTTTAATGAGCTAGATAAGTAGGAAGAAGTATCATTTAAAAATAATTTTAAAGGAGAGGGAAGTGGCACCAGATATAAAGATCATGGCAAAATTTATGCTATGACATGAGTAGCTTATGGATTATGCAAAGTCACTACTCTCTCCCATATTCAAAATACCCAGGTATCAAAAATGCAAGATCTAACCTTCCTTTCATTTACTTCATCTAAAGACTGAAAAAGGCAGTAAATACAATGTGGCCATGAGAGTGATCATGTCATCCTAATAAACTTTCCTCTAGGTGTTCCGATGTATCTCTCCTATCTGTTCTCTGTCCAGCACCCTGTTGACATTCTGCCTTGTTCTGAGTTTCAGAAAGGTGATCGAGGGCCTGGGCATAGTTTTAGTACCTAATTATTATAATTATATTAGTTAATGTTAGACTTGCTACTTAAGTAGCTTGTTTGAGAAAATTCACCTCTTCTCAGGTTCTCCAAGGCTATGCCAACAGCACACAGGCTCTCTGACAAGGGAATTAAACCTTCAAATATGGGTCTAAAAACGGACCCTATGTTTTTTGCCTAGCTAATATCAGAGAAACTCATTCACCAAATTTGCTGCAAAGTGATGAATTTTTCCATACCAACTCTACTATTGTAGAAGGGTTACAATCTAAATTGGTTTTTTTAAAGGATGAAATGAAACTATAGATCCTTAAAATATATAAATATTCCTTAATAAATGAGATAAGTCTATTCTAAATAGCTGGCTATAAAGAGAAATTCTATATATAGGACTTTATGACCTTCTGCTTTTATCCCAGGAGGTATTCTCATTCTTTTCTAATACAACCCCAGGGGGACTGAAGGTTTTAACTTGGCCCCAAGTAACCCTTGTTTCACAGGACTGCTAGGATACTAGGTCATTTCCAGAATCATTTCGGGAGATGCATTTCTGTTGGGAATTCCTAAAGATACCTGAAATTTACTAAAACACCTGAGATTTAGGCCTCGAGGTCAGTCATAGAATTAGCATAACTTCCCTGAAGTACTTAAGTGGGGATGAGTTGGGGCCTAGCCAAGAGTGCCCCAATTCTATGCCATACAGGATCTCTATCTCATTTCTTGTCTATGGAGGCATTTGTCACTTGGAGAATTAACCCAGTTTATTGGCTTCCCATTTTTTACACATTTAGAGAGGTAAGTTTGATTAAGTTAGTTAAATACTGGAGTAGAAGTCCAAAGATGGGAGTTTTATTCCTGTTTCTGACACTGACTTACCACATAACTTTAAGCCATTCACTAAATCTCTTTTTAGATAAACATACTTAATTTGCAAACTAGGCTATTTTAAGAAATTTCAAGATTATCTATAAAACACTTTGATCTCCCTAGAAATGAGTGCTAAGTAAATATAAGTTGCTATTCTTTTTTATTATTTCTATTGTGACAGTGAATTGCAGTATTTATAAACCTTGACAGTTCACCAAAATAATAGATAATCATAGTCTTCAGTGGGCTGCCTTATGAATTGGATTTAAATTTTAAGAGAATTCTGTTGTTGTTTATACGTTTCATCCTGACATGTTGGAGGATTCAGTGACTTGGTAGCCACAGGAATGAAAACTAGTGACTCACAAAAATCCTGTTTAGTGTTATTTTTTATTTCCATGTGGTGTTCCTATTGTTCTTAATTTTTATAGATCACACAAGTTTTTCATCAGACAACCTTGTTCTTCCCTTACTCCGCCCCCCCCCCCCCTTTGGAAATAACCTCAAGTGTGGCCCCAAGGCTTTTGTCTCCTATAGGTCAATGTGAGCTCAGCTCCTCAAAACCCTGTGTTCTTTCAGTCTGTCTGGAGTTCATGCTTTGTTGTGGGAGAGGAAGGCAGAAAGCCTGTAACTTGCCCAGACAGTCTGAGGCCTGGCCATGTAGCTCCCTAGACACAGTAGAGTTGGACTTGGCCAGCCATTACTCTGTGTTTCTTTTCAGAGGGAATAAGTGAGATTAACTGTAGGCTCTTCTCCAGAAAAGAAAAGAATTGGGGTCAAAATATTTTAGGACCCCAGTTATTAAGGGCTAGAGTGTGCCTTCAAAACGGCAGGCTCTTATTGGGAAAGTATGTCACTAGAACTTGCAGGTATAGAGTGCTTACCACCAATACCTCCCTTTTAAAAGTGACTATTAAGGTTTCCAGATTCTGATGCATAAGTAACTTGGCCCCTTTCTACTCAATAAAGTGTGTGTTTGGGAGAGGGGGAGGGTGAAAGGAGAGTAGAGACTTTCAAATTATTTTATCCAATAGAATTATTCTTTCTCTAGACACAATAGATAATTAGGTGCTCAGACTTTATTAATGTTGGTTTATTATTGCCAGACTTCCGGAGAACCTAACCACAACAGGAAGGGCACATTTTTCTTTTTCTAGCACTCATTGAGTTAATGGAACAGTTTTCCTCTGTGGGAGCTAAAAGGGTTACTTACTGTGAAGTCCTGGCGGCAGCAGTGGCTGCTGCTGCTTTGAATGATCTGGGAAGGACAGGGCCTCAGACAGCTTGGCAGGAACCTGAGGCCCTGTTTTGTTCCAGTCCAGCCCTTCCTTGTGGATGGAGCTGTCAGGGAATCCCATGAACGTCTGGCTTCTGCCCTTTTGTGTGTTTTTCCAGAATTTGTCACTGAAATATTTTTATCCATCCCTGGCTTTTTAATGCACGGAACCTGGATATTTGTCTATTCCTTGACACTAAAGGTGGGCAAGGTTCGAAAATTGTCCTGTTTTGCATCAGCTGATCTTGCTGAACTGCTTTGTCACATTGTACAAAGGAGTGGTCCAATCATCTTTGCAGAAGAGTGATTTCTGGCATCTTTGTCAGGGGCAGCTCTGCCTGGGCCAAGCACAAATTGAACAAGTGGATTGTTGTCAGTTCCTCTTTGTTCCTTCTGGGTATGGATCAAAATGAAGTACTGCATCTGAGAATTCTGAATCATGGCTCCTTGTTCTTTTAGCTTTTCATGGACCTTTTTCGGCTGTTTGTTTTCAGATACTCAGGTTTAAGCTTAGCTGATTCCCTTTCCCTAAGTTCTCTAAGAGTGCCGCTTTAAAGTATTGAAGATTTAGACTTCTGCATTGGAGTCCTTCCATGATCAATCAGTCATTCAAAAAGCATTTATTGAACATCTTCTAAATGCCTAACATTTTGCTAGGTGATATGATGTGTTACCAAAAAAAAAAGGACATAGTTTATAGTCTAGTTAGGAATGTAAGGCAATAACTTTCTGTCACTCTCTCTATTGAGTTCTGCTTTCATGCCTCTGATATGTTGAACCAGGAGCAGGAGTAAACATATTCCTTGCCCCTGATATTTCTATACCACATGTAACAGATTTGTCACTATCATCTGCTAACCTCTTGGTTATTTTTCCTTTCTCAAGGAGTTCAGTACCTGGCTTAAAGTCTTTCTCTTTACCTCTATCCATACCCTAATATGTGGGCTCATTATATAAAATTGTTGTTCCCTCAAACATCCTTCACTCCCACTTCGTCAGCTTCTTCAACTACATGACCTATATCTTCACTCTTCCTCAGCCACCTATAGATATTTTCATAACCTTGATCTTAAAATCACCTCTAATTTTACTGTCTCAGATGATTCAGAATTCTGTAATTTCTCTCTCTCTCTCTCACATAATAAATTCCTATCCTTCTGCCTCACTGCTTTGAAATCTATTGTTTGTATTCAGCATGACCTCCCATCCCTCCACTCTTCCCTGTTCTTCTAGCACATCACCTCCTTACTAGTCTTACTTTCTTGTACCTTAGAGTTTACCATTTCAGCTATATATTTTTCACTTTTGAATTCTTTGCTTCCTTATTTTTTTGCCAGTCACACCTTGCCAAATTCCAGTACTAGGTAAGTACTTAAAAATGTTTGTTGAATTGTGTGATACAGACCGCTCAAGAATAAAAACAATCTAGAGTATGAACTATACTTAGTCCATATTATTATTGTGCAATATAATCAAGTTCAGAATGAATTAAAGAAGGGGGGATATGTGTGATTCTCTAAAAGGCACACGGTGGCTTCATAATCATTATGGAAACTGAAGCCCAGATGTCAGTGACATTAAATTGAAACTTGCAGGGGAAAATAGAACTTTTACACTCTGCTTAGTAAGAATCCTGCCATTCCATTTCTTAATGTGTACATTAACTCTGAGGAGAATGGGGACAGTATCCCCTGGTTGACAAAGGAAAGAGAAACTAAGCCTGGGCCTGTAGGATAGAGATTGCCCATTAGGCAACCCAGCAGCATGAAGAGAGAGAGCTAAAAGCTCATCCTTTCCTTGTGTCCCTTGGCACACATTAGACTAGGACCAACATACTATCCTTCCCTTCAGTTTGACCTTGTTTGTTAACTGGAGACTTGCTCCTCAGCAGGCCCTCCTCAGTGCTCTCCTTTTGGATGCCAAAATTCCACTGAAGCCTGATGTTCCTGCCAGTGCACATTCACATTTTCCATCCATCCTGGGGGTCGTACTTTGAGGTGGCTTTTCTCTGTAGCATCTTAAAGCTCATAGTTTGATACTTTATCCTATTATGCAAATACAATTCTTTTGCCAGAAAAAAGTCAAATCAAAAAAGAGAAACCCCAGAAAGTTTTTCACAATTGTTTCCTCTTCCAGAATTATAAGGAAGTCTGATTTGACTCCCTATTCCATTTTCCTTTTTTCCCTTAGAAGAATCTCCCTTCCTTTTCTTGCTCTCACCTTTACTTCCCTCTGAGCAAAATTGAGCTTCTTTATTTAATGTGTGAAGACCTATGCATTTCTATTTGGGACCATTCCACTTCTTAACTCACTCTCTGACCTATAACCCCAGCAAGAGA